CTTTAACTATTTCCGTAGCACAATGTCGTATGATATTTTGCTGTGGAGACACGCGACTGATACTGAAATTATATTTTTTATAGACGATGGCCATATAAGATTAATCTAAGATTTAAAACCTAAAAAAAATATTTAAGAACATTCTATATATATATTCACCACGTACTCTCCACAACGTACAGTACACATCTGTACATTGTAGAGCCATTCTGTATCTATATAAGTAGTATAGTTGTAGCACGCATGGATCGGCTCGACCGAGGTAGGACCATGCTCTCACAGAATACCAGCGTAAAATAGCAGCTTAATGCTATTTTACGCTGGTATTCTATTTGCACCCATTGAATGTTTATAGGATGAACCAAAAAAAGAAACCGAATTGGTGTCGTCGGTGACAATCGAACGTTGATTGCTCGCTCTTTGATACTAAAGGAATCCTTCCAATCCACTGTGGCTTATTAATTCTAAACTTATTTCAAATACACATCAATGAAATTTATAAGGATAAGACGTAATTTCAATTGAACAATTTTCTATTACATGGAATAAATTCATAAATATCTTACTATCACGCCGACACACATTAAACATTAAAGAAATATGCTTCTCTATCTATCAAAACTTACAGCACACTACGCATGGCTAAATTTTGTTGCTAATGCTATTTTAATACAAGTTATATTAACAGAAAAGCACACAGTCTACCTATAATAAGGTGCATTCTACATGAAAACATAGGTGTTGATAGACGATAGACGTGTGTTATTACCCCAAATGCTCAACATGGTGAGTTTATGTTATATATATTACATAAACATGTTGATGGTAAAAACACGTTACTAATATATATATATATATATATATATATATATAGGGGGTATATATTACTTATATATATTAAATATATATATATATATATATATATACTATTAGCATATATTATAGATAATAAACCGCATTCTTTGAGCTTAACGAAATAATTAAGATAAATTATTCGAAAGACATGGCCGAAATGTGCCCCAAGCTGTACAAAAATAAGACTATTGCTATTTATTTAAATAAAATAAAAAAAGAATTTTGAATAACTATTAACATTTCATAGCAGCTGTTGAAAAATAATCAATTTTAAAAGTATTTAAAATGATTTCTTCTCTTTGAAGTCACTCTATAGCACCTTTGATGTGGCCATATAATACTTAAAAAGATAAGAATATGGAAAAAAACAGTAGCTAAACTCATAAAAATACTTTTTTACGATATCTTATGTATAAAAACAAGCTTTCAATTAATGAATTAATACATTAAAAATAATAATAAAGGATAGGATTTTATTTATTTGTTTAATACAGCAACAGCTTAAATATGTAGCGTTACATTATAGGGTAGGGTTATTTTACTTTAGTACTTGCAACACTGAATCCGTCCGTCAAGCATCAAAACGGTCAAAGCGTCAATGTCAGACTTAATCTGATTCACGTCTACCGACTTACGCGCCGTTTTTTGGTATAAGATATATGTACGCTTTTCCTTCGTATTTGTATTTTATCGTATTTTACTTTTATTTAATAAATGCCGTAGCCTCACGCGAGGGCTCCACTAATTATAAACGGTGTAATACGTAATTTTAATTATTTTCTGTCTAATATACTTCTATAAGTAATAGTTATGTTACAAAAACAAAAAAAACTGCTGTCCTTGTTTTTTTTTTAGCTAAACCAGTTAGGATACATCCTAACCATTATGCATATACATTAACCTACATAACACTCATGAATTGGAACTTTATTAATATCTACATTGTATAATAATGATAATAATCTCCTTCCTACGTTTGCATCGACGGGCAGTGAGGGCACTGATGTGTTTCGTTAAAAGTTACAACCTATATACGGTCCCACTACTGGGCACAGACCTCCTCTCATTTCTGAGAGGGTTTTTGGGCAAGGAAGTGTCCGCCACGCTGTCTCAATGCGTTTTGGCGAACTTCACATTTCTTCGAAATATTTGATTTTTGTTTCTCAGACATGCAGGTCTCCTCACGGTGATTTCCTTCACCGCCGATCACGTGGTAAAAAAGCACTTAAAATTGAAATTAACAATTTTATTGGTGCCGGTGGGGATCGAACCAAGGTTACTCGCGTTCTGTTATATTTACAGCGAGCGTTAGCCATCTGAGCTACCACGGCTCTATCTGAAAGATGTATAAAGGCTTTTTGATTACAAGCTGTGAAGCACCTTTTTGCAAGTTGGTAATAAATTCACAAAAATTGCTGTTAACGAAATAAAACAACAGTTACAAACTGTGAAAAAAGTGACATCCTCAAAGGTGACAAAGCATTTGTACCTTTTTTTTTTGAAGTTGGTTGCACATGTCCACGGACTGCCGTAGCCACTTACTAGTAGGTATATTGTATGTTCGTTAGTTACTTCATTTTTATAAAAAAATCATCTTTTGCAAACTTTTAGATTCCACTTAGTCAATCCAGTTTTTTTATAGTCATCTCTTGCGACTTCTACGGTACAAAATAACGCGATGTATATTAGTAAGCCACCATAAGCACATTAACACAGAATAACTACTATAACACTCACGAAAACTCATTAAATATAAATATTGATGTGTTCGAATACCCTATTATTTATTATTACCTTACATTATTTTAATGAAACTATTCTTTTAGCTACAACGAATTATAAAAAATACATATACGAGAGTAATTTAGTTTCGTCTGTGAAGGGTTTCCATGTAATTTCCCCTTTTCAGGTCTAACCGGCGCTTAATGAGAAAACCCTTGCAACCCTCCACCGGATTAGCGATATTAATACGTAACTTGTTTCAAAAGTGTATAATATGAGTAATCCTTTTTGTTTTTTTTTTCAGTCACGACTCGAAAATATTTCAATCCTTTAAATTTAATAAACTAAACTAAGATATTTAACGAAGTTACACTTTTATTATTCTAAGTCAGTGTGCTTTTCCATATTGATTGCAACGCTACTTCCAATAAAGTGGGATAATAGTCGAGCTCTGCTTTCGATTAGTCAAATAATAGTATAATATAGAAAAGACATTATTATACGTAAAAAAGTAAGAAAGATATTTTTGCAGTAAATCATAGTATAAAATATCGGAATATATGAAATCAGCTAATCTCATTCAGCATCATTTTGTCTTAATAGTGCACGATTCCTTGCCCTTATACTCAAGCATTAGGGAAAACCTAATCCTATTACTAAGTTATTTTATGACATCAACACTGCCTCACAAGTCCACTGACGAACATAAGCCTCCCCCCTAGATTGCCACAAATTACGACCTGTATGCGACACTACCTGCGTGTTTCACAAGGTTATTACTTCATCTAGTGGAGGAATGCCAACGCTGCACAACCAGTACAAGGCTGCTACTCCAAAATCATTGTTTCGTCGTCTGTCGGTTACTCGGGTTAAATTTGTAATTAGTAATTTTAAATTGCTTAAATTTAATTATCCTATTATTTTATTAACCTACTATAGGATTTTCTCCTGTATCATGGAGTCAGTTTACTTATTACAATAGATTGTATACGGAAAAATAATCTAAACTCGGATTAATTATTTGTAAGCCATACCAATACTTGTTCCGTGCGGGATCGACCTCGCGGCCCGTTCATTGCTAAGCCACTGCGCCACGGAGCCGTCATAGCCAAACCATTGCCACGTAGGGTTACAGATTTCATTACAAATTTCATTGCGTTGGCAATAATATTTAGTCAAATATTATTTTTGTCAGAGTTTTGGTAAAATAAATATGATTTCTTTGACAGCAACACCCAATTCGTTTTATATTCATGACACAGTAGAACTTAAATAACGTTGCCTGGACCAGAAGTCTTATAAATTGCCTGAATTCTTGGCTGCGGAATTGGCTTTCGGCCAACAATAACAATTTGCTCAATGACAGAATGAAAAGGTTTAGACAAAGATCCTTATAAATAAGCAACTTTAATTAGGGCTTCTTGCTATTAGTCTGTTGGTTCCATTCACGGTTAATTAGTGTCATATTTTGAGAGAATTTTAATAATGAGGAAATATCATGGCTATTGTTGATTATTTACCGACAGGTAAGCCAGTACTTAGTATAAAAACAAAGCATTTAGAATAAAATTTTATTAATAATAATAAAAATTTTAGGTAGAGCGTTATTAACTAAAATTAAAGAAGTGAGAAATTTCTATTCGCATAAATTGAAGTGGCAGTACTTGTTGAAAATGAAGATTTGATTTGATTATATTATTTATCAGGACGTCAAACACTTCAATTCCCCGTGACCATGGATGCTAAAAAACACCCAAAACAGTAACAATCTATGACATGATGACTATATAGTATATACGAGTATAGCTTCAACTGTGTCACGATCGTCCCAGTATTCCGCCCTTTTCTGAATGGACACCAATTGTAACAGTAGACGATATATAGAAGAAACTTTTCTATCCTTTACCAGTGCGTTAAGTTTGTTCTTCTGACCATCCAAGAAGAAATATCGGGAATGAATATAAATACTACAACTGTAATATGTAAAAATGTACAACTTCTCTATGGAATTTTTTACCACCGGCGAATTTTTCGGACAGATACGACTTACGCCCGAACCTAATATTCGATCTTAATCTATTTTTAGCTATCCACGATTGACAATTCAATCCATTTTATGGTTAGAATGTGCCAACAACCAATCCAAGGGTTAAAATTACAATCTGTAGAAGCAAGCTATCCTCGAGAGGTCGGATTACAAAAAAAGATAGACCTATGTGGGCGAATGACAATTTGTGTGTATCAATAACCTGTCTGTCAACTTTTACGTTTAGTTCGATTGGTGTAAACAATCCAAATTCGCAATCCGAGAAAAGCATAAGATTAATCCTTCGAGTTCCAACCGATTACGTATTTTGTTTTATTTTATTTGCGCGAAAATGGATTTAAAATTATTATTTAGTGACAGTGACAGTGATTTGGAAATGCTAGCTCAGTTATCTGACTCGGGTGATGAAGATGAAACTCTACGCCGCTCTCCAAAGAGAATCAGAAGAGTGAACTGTACGCAAAGTCTCGATGACGGTGATTTTACCTTTAGCTTTCGATTGAACAAACATGCGTTCAATTCTTTATTGTTAGAAATAACCCCATTATTACGAGTAACATCCACGAGGTAAAGCAAAGCTGGTCTATAGCAAATTAGATATTTTTTTACAATCTAAATAATATACTTCATTTTATGTAATCCTTTGCAGAAATTACGGAGTATCACCAATGCATCAACTTTTGTTGACCCTAAGGTTTCGGACTAGATGGCGCTGTCGGTTGCGTGGGGCATCAGGTGGTATCCCGGTGATCATGTCTGCAGGCAGCCGTAATTCTCTTCCAAAGTTTGCGAAAGCTGGTGTCACTGCTGTACTTTCGTGAACAGGGCTTCGATATGACAACAAAAACGGTTGTATGTGCTTGTCCCAATCTCGTTGCCGATTGTCTACAACTTTTGCTAGGTACCTCTCCAATGTCTGATTAAATCGTACTACCATTCCATCAGATTGCGGGTGATAAGAAGTCGTTCTTGTTTTATGAGTACCCATAACTCGGCAAGTTTCCTGGAATATTTGAGACTCAAAATTCCTTCCTTGATCGCTCTGAATCTCTAAAGGTACTCCAAAACGACAGAAGACTTCATGAACTAGTTTATCCGCAACTGTTGAAGCTTCTTGATTTGGATTGGCGAAGACTTCTGGCCACTTAGTGAAGTAATCCATCACAACCATGAAATACTTGTTACCGCTTTCACTCTCCGGAAACGGCCCCGCCACGTCAATGGCTATTCTCTCCCATGGTGCACCAACATTGTACAACTTCAATGCACCTCTACTACGAGTGTGAGGTCCCTTTACAGCCGCACAACTTGTACATTTGCGACACCAGTCCTCGAAATCGTTTCGACAGTGGACCCAGTAAAACCATTCTCGGATCTTCAGTAGAGTCCGTTTAACTCCCAGATGGCCTCCTGAACAATCATTATGATACAGCTGTAGAACATCCGGTACTCTAGCTTTAGGGACGACCATTTGCAAATGACAGCTGTCTCCCCGAACATTTTCCCATTTACGGCACAGAACTCCATCCTGAAGCAGCAAGCTTTCCCACTGGACCCAATAGCTTTTAGTGATCGAACTCATCGCTGAGACGTCGTTTCACTTGGGCTTGGGAGCACTAGCCTTCATCCATTGCAGAATCGGCTTGATGTCCGGATCTTCCTGCTGTGCATGTCGTAAGCTGTCCTTTCACTCGTTGCTGAGGTGGTCTGTCCTGAGCATCCTCACGGATACCACTTCCTTAATCTCTAGCCTAGTACATTATTTGCAATCTTCAGGACAAGGTCTTCTTGATAATGCATCTGCGTTGCCATTTCCCGCTGCGATGTTCGATCTCAAAGTCGTATTCCTGCAGTAGTTCAATCCACCTCGCAACTTGTCCTTCTGTATTTTTAAACTGTAATAGCCATTTTAGTGCAGAATGGTCAGTTCGTAAGTGAAATTTCCGCCCCAGAAGATATTTGCTAATATGCTGCAATGACTTAGCAATTCGCGCCTTGTGACACAATAGTTCCTTTCTGGTTTTGACAACGTCTTGCTGAAGTACGCCATCACGACCTGTTGTTCACCATTCCGTTGAGACAACACACCGCCAAGTCCTATATCACTTGCGTCCGTGTCAACTATAAATTCTTTGCTTGCATCAGGGTATCCCAAAATAGGTGTTATGCACAGACGGTCCTTGATCTCCTGGAATGCGATATTGCAATTTTCATCACAGCAGAAATGTCGCTTCTCCGTGGTTAGCTTATGCAGAGGTTGAGCTATATCTGCAAATTTCTTCACAAATTGCCGATAGTAGGAGCACAAACCCAAAAATGCTCTAACCTGCGTCTTGTCTTTTGGAACCGGCCAATCCCTGACAGCGACTATTTTCTCCGGATTCATGCGGATACCTTCTTCCGACACTACATACCCCAAAAAGTTGACTTGACGTGTGAATAGTGAACATTTCTTCGGACTCAACTCGAGGTTGGCACTCTGAATCTTTATGAGCATGCCTTCCAGGTTTTGAAGGTGTTCCTCAAATGTACGGCCCACGATAATGATGTGATCCAAGTAGGCCAGACAGGCATCGCCAATTAGCCCGGTAAGTACAAGCTCCATCAGTCTTTCAAATATTGCTGGAGCATTGCACAATCCAAACGGCATTACTTTAAATTGCCACAGACCCTTTCCCGTCGAGAACGCAGTTTTCTCCTTGTCCTTAGGGTCAATTTCAACTTGCCAGTAGCCACTTTTTAGATCCAGCGTGCTAAACCATTTTACTCCTGTAAGCATGTCCAGCGTGTCATCAATTCTTGGCAAGGGATAGCTGTCCTTCTTTGTAACGTCGTTCAGACGGCGGTAATCAACACTGAACCGCATGCTGCCATCCTTCTTCTTTACCAGCACCACGGGTGAACACCATGGACTATATGAAGGTTCAATAACACCATCCTTCACCATTCCCTCAGTCATGGTTTCCACTTCCTTTTCACGTGCTACCGGCAATCTTCTTGGCCGCTGACGGATAGGCAATTCTTATCCTGTGCTTATTTTGTGTTGAACTAAGCCAGTCTTTAATATGTCAGCATCGTTTCATGAGAATACATCGGCGTACTTGAGTAACAACTTCTTTGACTTGACCAATTCGTTCGGGGAGAGAACACTGCGACAGTTTTCCAAAAGTGTGGTCAATCTCGTTTCTGAATCCTTGCTGGATATTTATATATGGTTCTGAATCCTGGACTCGATATATATTGGCACCGACGTAACCAATCCACTTCCTCACAAGTACCGATTAGTGTGCCTTTTTCTATAATCTGTTCCCGGTCACAAAGGTTCAGCACACGTACTCCTGGGATGTCAGTGGTCCTGACCAAGGTTCGAGCTACTTTCCATGGAAGGTCATTGTTAACCCTTTCCACAAGTACACAACGGTGAGCTTGCCCAGCGTTTCGAGGAAAACTAACCGGAACAATCGTTTCCGATCTCGGCGGAAGAACAATCTTCTTAATGCTGTACACGTTCCATGGTAACGCACCTTCCATAAAAAGTTTCTCCTGTCCACATTTCAAAACACCTTGCTTAACCATTTCACTGTCCCATGAGTCATATATGAACATTTCGATTGTTTAACTATTGTGTTATTTCGGTAGGGGTTGTCGATCTCACAACAATTATTCCTCATAAAGTCTAGGCCTAGGATGCATTCGTCCATTATATCAGCCACGATGACATTATGCAGGTAGATCACGTTGCCTAGCTTCAACTCCATCTCCTTCTCTCCACGGACGGGTATACGCTGACTGGTGGCTGTTACCAAATTAATGCGTTCTCGGTTGTATGCGGAGTCCCCAAGGAACTGACTTTTAAGTTGGGAACTAACAACCGTACGAGAGGCTCCAGTGTCTATGGTCAGTTTACACGGCATTCCGTTGACCTCGCCCTTGATGATTAGACTGTTCCTAACATGGGTTTGTGAGATCAAGATCCTTGAGGCTCTTTTAACATCAGCCAGCACCCGCTCTGCAGTTCTGCTTTTACTCGTTTCCCTGCTGCTGCTGGGCGGTGCTGTTGGTCGCACTACCCTCCTGAGATCGTTCAACTTCCCTTTCTAGGGTTCGCTTAGGGCAGCTGGATCGACGATGGCCCTTTTCCCCACAGCCATAGCACCTAGGGCTGTATCCTTAATTGCGGTCGCGAACTATAGCTGCTGCAACCTTCGTGATGCGATAGGAACGATGATCCTGCCGCACGGCTTCTACCTCCAGTGCATAGGCCAAGGCGTCCTTAAGCGTCTCGTGGTACCCGAGCCTCACAGCAGCTATGACTTCAAGGTCGCGGATGCCGTCGATGAATGTCTGCACCAGGTTCCCTTCAATGAGCGCAGGTACAGACCGGTATGCTTTTCGCACCAGCATCTCCACCTCTAGAGCCCACTGCTGCAGGTTTTCGTTGATGCGCTGCACGCGATCTTTAAGCTGCGCACGAAAGACGTGTTCCAGGTGAGCGTCGCCATATCTCGCTTCCATTGCCTCAAGGAGTTGCTCATAAGTCACTTCCTCACCGAGAGCTTCCAGAACTGTTAAGGCCTGGTCGCGCAAGCCTAGTGTGAGAGCAGACATGGCCTGAATTTTATTCCAGCCGTTCGCCTTTATAACAGTCTCGAACTGGATTTTGTAGGCTGACCAGGAAGAACTCTCGTCGAACGGCGGCACCTTGAACCCACGTAGCGAATGTGTTATAGCTACTACGGGAGCTGTAGCTCCATCTCGAAGTTTGAGTTTGTCCAGTGATTTCTTCATGTCAGCCATTACGTTGTAAACCCGATTGTTTACTTGGTCGATTCGGGTTTCAGCTTTCTCGATTCGGGTTTCAGCTTTCGTGATTCGGGTTTCAGCTTGCGAGAGGCGGTTATCATGCTGAGCAACCCTATCCTTCACCTCGTTTATCTCCTTCCCGAAGGTAGTGTGAAGGTTGTGTGTGAGGAAGGGTTCTTCATGAGGAGCATCTGCTCTTCCAACTGACGGGTCTGTTCTTCTTGTCCGCCCCGCTCTGCTCTTCCAAATGACGCACCTGTTCCTCCTGTCGGCGGGCCTGTTTATCCTGTCCACCTCGCAGCTGCTCTTCTAAACGACGGACCTGTTCCTCATGTCGGCGAGCCTGTTCCTCCTGTCGGCGAGCCTGTTCCTCCTGTCGGCGAGCCTGCTCCTGCAGCATCACCATCAGAGCACTTAAGTCAGGTGCTGCAGATGTAGGAGCTACTGACAGGCCTGCAGCCGGCGGCTGGCCCTCCGACGTCTGCGGTATTGCACCACCAAATCGTCTCTGGTCCGTCTCCTGCTGGCGTTGACTTCGGACACGGACACCCTCCGTTTCCTCCTTAGGTAAAATCGGCATGATTTTATCCCACTTCTGACACCAATTGTTACGAGCTTGAGGTTCGTGACAATAAAAATTGCCGATAGAATTACCAAAATTAGCTCTTTAATTCACTTTACACTAATTAAAACTTAGAATTATTAATCACACTGATTCACTTTATTTCGCTCCGAAGCTTCGCTTGTCTCGCCGAATTCAATACTTCCCAGATCGCATCTTGCAGCGCCTATAAATACAAATTAGCACCGAAACATCCAGAATATTGAAGTAAATACGCGCAAGGGGCCGAGAGTTCGATTGTCGACTTCTAGAAACTTAGTTCTTCTTTCCTAGACTAGATGGCGCTCTCGGTTGAAAGTTTAGTGAGGTCATTTTCTGGAAAACTCCCCTCGCTCTCGTCCCTGACACTAGATGGCACTAGTGTCGGATACATGACGTCGACTTATTCGCGCAACAATATGATAAATATATTTATGTTCATCGAAGGAGTGCAGACAAATTCTATAGAATTGCTGGATTTCCTCGTGTGCTTGGGGCAATTGATGGTACACATATCCGCATACAGTCTCCATGAAGTAACTATACTCAACACTTCTTAAAATTTTAGCAAATATGAATAAACTATAAAGTTGCTAATAATAATGTTTATATATTTTAGGCCATTTAATAGGCGAAGAATACAAAAATCGGAAGGGTTACTTTTCTTTAAATGTTCAAGGTGTTTGTGATGCAGATTTAAAATTTGTAAATGTTGTGGCTCGTTGGCCTGGTTCTATTCTTCACCATTTGGCATGATGAACTATACTTAATAACTCTATTCTGAGAGGTAGGTGTATATAATATGTATATATTATTCAAGTTGTAATAAATTTGAGTATTTACTGTCAGAGCCTAATAGTCTTTATTTTTATAACAGCTGAATGTGATGCAGGCCAATTCGGAAATCGCTGGTTACTTGGAGATAGTGTTTGTCCAAATAGGTCATATTTATTAACACCTGTTCTGAATCAAGTTTCTGAAGCTGAACATAGGGAAGTACACATTAAAACTAGAAATGTAATTGAAAGGTATGTTAAATAAAACAGTATTATTAGATAAAATGTGTTACGGGAATACTGGTGTTTAATAAACAAATTGTTATTACAGAGCATTTGGAGTATGGAAACGTAGGTTCCCTGTTGTAGCTCTTACACTACATTTGTCAATACCAAATATGCAGGCAGTAATAATAGCAACTACAGTCCTAAATAATATTTTCAGAAATCACAATCTCACAGAAATCCCCTCTGAAGTAGAACTACCAGCTATCGACCATAGTACAATGCCTCGTAATGTAGTTGTTAATATCCTACAAACCATAAAACTGATCTAATAAATAATTATTTTATGGTATTATAGAAACGTTGACACTCATTGTACAAATAACTCGCTTAAAAATTATGTAATTAAAAAAATATGTAGAATAAGTTAGAAATTAAATTGTTAGTATTTTGTTAGTTTTAAATTTAAATGTAAAAATAAAGCAAGTATTAAAAATTATTTTCTATATTAAAAATACACATTAACCATTATATTACTCTAATACTAAGATATTTATAAAAAGGAACTTAAATTATAACTGCCTTGTACCTTTTATACCACATATGTAAGTAATAATCTTTTTTAAAAAAATTTTAAATTGAAATAAACTGTGAAGTTGCTATTAAGTGTTACTTTTCTTTATAAATTGTTTGTGAATTTAATTATATTTATTAATTTAATTAATTTTTATTATAGTAATTAATGTATATTATATAAAATATACATTAATTACTATAATATTGATAAATTTATATAAAAGAAGTCAAATAATTATAACTACCTTCTATGTTTTATAATAGTCTCCATGTAACTGTGTGCTGGCGAATAACTAGAAATCAGAAATCACAAGTGGTACTTTTCTTTAAATGTATTGTATTTAAAGAAAAAATCAAGTTTAAAGTTTATGAACGATGTGGCTCATCGGTCTCCTTACCAACTGCATAAAGCAACTATTTTTATTAACTGTTTTGAGATGTGGGTGCAAATAATATGTATTCAAATTGGAATATGATGTGATGCAGGCTTGCACTGATGTTAAAGGTTAAAAATTGAATATAGAATCAGTTGTTCATATTCTATTAAAGTTTGTAAATTTAATTGTAAAAATTTGAAAAATCAATAAAAATTATTTTTCTATATTAAAATACATTTATTACTATAATACTTAGACATTTATAAAAAAGTATTTAATTTGTAACTAGATTTTCCTCCTTTTATACCACGTATCATCCACATAATAGTCTCCACCTAGTAAGTAAAAATACTTACCCTTTTCAAATTTTTGTTCAATTTAAATACAAGTTGCTAAAAATAATGTTTATATATAATAGGCTATTTAGCAGGCGAAGAACTCAGAAATCGCAAGTGTTACTTTTCTTTATATTTTGTGAATTTAATTGTAGAAATAAAACAAATATTTAATAAAATGATTTTATTCTTTAATTACTATATTACTGACATTAATCTACCTTTAATACATTTATTACATACATATTTTATTAGTTTAAAAGATTTTCAAATACAAACTATATAACTACTAATATTACAAATCATGAATACATATATAAGGCTTGAATTTATTAACAACTACTTACAGACATACGACTGTCTTTTATATATCAAAATACATAATTATTTTTTACACTTACATACTATTACACAAATAACCATTTTTTTAAATTTTCTATTTCTAATAAAAGGTTTTCATTTTCTAATTTAAGTTTTTTATTTTCTAATTTTATATTATCTAATTTTGACTCTAGGCACAGCTTTATAAATATTCTGCAATGACACGGTCTCTAGCAGATTTGGACCCATTACTCTGCAATTTCCTTTTACCTGTAAAATACATATTAATTTAATTTATAAAATTACAGCCTTTTTTAATAAAAAGGAGTTTATCTTTGGCTTATTACTATTTTACCTCAATTTACACTGCTTTTAAACCAAAGTGAACTACAAGTTAGTCACCACACCACCACCTCTGTGAACGGCACACCATGTGAAATTGTTATCTAATAAATTAAAATTCTATCAACATCAAAATAACCACTACCTATTTTAGGAACATTGAATGTTACTCTCCGTGGTGTATCCGAAACTATAATTTGTTCAGCAACAGCATAGGTGTTAACCTGAGCCATTGCTGAATGTGGAGAAGTAGGGATTACAACCGTTTCCATTTGCGGATCTGGCACTGGTGTATCCTGAAACTATAGGATTTCTAGATTGACCCTAGTATTACCACCTAATTCCTCTACACCATCACCATTTGGCAAAATACCACCACCATCACAAATCACTACAAAGTGGTAAGGTTCCTTATCTCCCCCATAAGGAACAAATAATCCACTGGCTGTATTCCCTAATAAACTGGTAACACGATCCAGTATTTCATCTGGGGATAAATACTCACCAACACCACCACCAGTCTGCAAATCAAAAAGATGAAATTAATAAAGATTGTAAATAAAATTGATAATCATTTGTTTATACTTAGATTAAAAATAAATAAACAATGAAACTCACTTTTATGGTGTTCATTCTTATTTTGGTGCAACGTTTACGTGCATTCTTCTTTAAATTCTCCCATTTCAGCCGAAGCTGTTGTGGTGTCCGACGACAATTTGTTGCCGTAGCACTAAACTGCTCGGCTATTCGTACCCACTCCTTGTCTTTAATTTTATTGCTGCTAGCGTTTGTGGCTTTAGACATTATAATTTTGCTCATTTCAATGAGTTCGAGTAAAGCTTTGTTTTCATCTTTAGAAAGTAGCTTGCTCTTTATCTGAAATAAAAAGCGATATAATATGTTGTTTTTCGGGCTAGAAAAGATGCGTATTGCCGCCAAGCATCAAATGATACAATATCTAATGTATTACAATATAACTTACTATTTGTGTCTCCATTATTTTGTTATTCACAAAGTATTTGCTGTAAATATTTCTGTTCCAAAGTTTCGTTTAATTCGAAAAAAGGTTTATAACATATACAAGAATTACGAATACAAATGATCGAACCGAAGCAGTGTAACTTGATAACTTTTTGACCGACGCGATGAGCGATGACGCTGCGGCCGCTACTGACCGGCGGCGTTCCGTTACGTGATTGTTTTCTAACTATAGTTACATTTTTTTTTCTACCGTTGTTGGTTGACTTTTTTTTTATATATTTTTCTCCTGGCGGACCTCCAACAGCCTGCAAAAGAGTTAATGTAATAACTTGTAATTAGAGTCAATAGTAATAAATTTAAAATTACATTCAATGTTATTATATTAATACAACTATTTTAATGAAACGAACTATGCATAAAACGAAACAGTCGAGAGGAAACGGATCGATCCAAACAGATGTTTGGATTGACTGCGATCGCTGCAAAAAAAAGATTGGGCTTGTTAAGTTATGTTATTGGCATATGGATTTTGGATCGATCTTTGTATAGGGTACAATCTCAAATTGTTTTTAATCTTAAAACAGAGATACGTTATTAAGTTCGGGCGTTAGGGACCTTTAAGGAAAGAGCAACGCACCTACAATTCCCCTAGTGTTGTCGTTGTTTATGGTTGGCGGTAGTCACTTAACATCAGATAAACCGCATGCTCGTTTGCCCCCCCCCCCCTCCTTGCTATAAAAAATAATTATTATCTAATAAGGAATAGCTAAAATACTGTGGGTATAATGAAAAAAAAAATGGTTAACCAACTATAATGTGGTCTAAATGAAATATGAAATAAATGAAGTTAAAGAATAATATGAAGAATTAAGAATAAATAAGTAGGAGAATTTATTTATGTTTAATTATGTCAAATATGTATGTTGTAAGTATGCATAGAGCAGCAAAAAAGTTTTATAAATGATTTGGAATTAGTTCCAAGTAACTTAAATTAAAGAATTAGACAAAAGAGGTATACTCTAGCAAAGATAATTTAAATAACTAAGAATATAGCTTACCAATGCTTAACTGTGTAATTTCATAAAATAACAACGATAAAAATGAACCAGGAATTTATTTAATAGTAACCATATACATATTTTTTGTAGTACTGAACATCATATTTAATTTCAATAATAACTAGGTGGCTAGTTCTTTCAATAGAGATACTAAATTAAGTGGAGGAGCCACTCCTTAATATTAGCTAATAAAGTCATGTAATATAAATATTGTGAGGATATTGTGAGCCTCTGTGTTGAGCGCACTGTAGAACTGTAGAATACCTCATTGTTGTCAGTGTTTATAGACCTCCATGTTCGAGGTATGTAAGCTTTGAAAAAAATATGAAAGAAGATTTAGTTAAGCTTAATAAACAGAATAAATCTCTTGTAGTATGCGGAGACTTTAATATCGATTTCCTGGAAGCTTCTTCCATCAGTATTGAAATTTCCGCATTGTTCGAATCATTCAAACTTGATATTTTATTCTTGGAAGCTACAGGTATTGCAGGGTGTAGTGCAACATGTATTGATAATATTTTTACAAATGTTGTACCAATCAAGAAATTCGTAATTCAACAACTAAGTTTCACTGTGGACAACTAGTTTAATTACCATATGTGCACAAAAAACAGGAATATAAGAAAATTGTGTTTGTTCCGATTAATGTAAAACGCCTGTAGAGATTTAGAAGTAATATGATTAAAAAACCCTTCCATCGCTTACTTACGTGAATAATTTAGACTATTTATACGGAGTATTAATTACTCTTGTAAGCAAGGAATTTAATAAAATATTTACTTCTTAAATATTCTTCAGTAACATTCGCGCATTTAATGAATGGGAGATGGTAGGAATTCACAATAGCATACGAAGATTTTTTGAACTTTACTATGAAATTTCATATAATATTCCCGATGTTAATAGAGAAATTATCAAAAATTATTCCAAAATGTTTAAAATGGTGTGTTCCACAGCCAAATCTTTACATATTAGCAATAAAGTTAAGATCGCTAAAAATAAAATTAAAATGACGTGGAATATAATTAATGAAAAAATCGGTAAAAAACTTCGTAACACAATTTATTAATTGAAAATTAATAATGAGTTGACTAAGTCAAATCAATAAGTCGAAGCGGTATTTGAGAAATATTTCACTGATATTCCTATTTTGACAACTAAGCCGATTCATTACTCAAACAGAACGTTAATACCAATTTAAAAGAACTTAGATTTAAAACGTATTACCACAAGATATTGTAATATATTTCAAAACGATTGATATTGTGGCCGTAGAAGGAAGAGGGGAGCTTTTGATAGCGTGATTTAGGCTTCGGTGTGTTTCGCCTGCGGCGCGACGACAGCGCCGCCACAATGTAAAAGAAAACTGCAGATTTATGGGAGATTTCCGTTACAGTTGTTGCGTCCATAATAGATTTGATTGTACTATTTTTAACACTAGTATCGAACCCGGTGTGTTTCTTGATTTAATGAAACATAGTAAAGTAATAACCTTTATTTATATCTAGTGGTTAAATTTGACCCGGCTAATTTTAGACTCATTTTTGTACTACCAACTTTCAGTAAATTTTTTAAAAAGATAATTTTAGACCAATTGTAATTTTTTTTTCGTAGAAATAAATTACTGCATAAAATCAATTAGGGTCACTCGAGCGTAAAGTGGTCGTTCGACGACTGACGCAGGTGTTGAGTTTACTAAATATATTTTTAATGCCTGGAAGAATTCATAAGATGCCTTAGGTATATTTTGTGATCTTTTCAAGGCTTTCAATTGCGTTCATCATGAGATATTAACCAGGAAACTACAACATTACGGTGTCAAAAATATTGCGCTTAGACTTATTATTTTAACAACACAATATTTTTTAAGTAAAAGGCTAGTACTACTTTAGTATTTACTTTGGATTATAAGGTTTTGTTAAAATTCTCATAGCTAAAATTTGTAGTAACACTACAGCCATACCATACAAAAACTATATAGGGGGCATGTAATATTCAAATTAAATGACATAGCTTGAAACATTGATCTTTTAAGATATATGTATATCTTTTTTTCCTTATAATTTACATCTCACAGTTTTTAATTCTCTCGTGTGCAAATAATCCGTCAAAATTAATAAATCAAATTCCTAAACTCATAGGAAAATCGTCTTTAAGTTTGTTAACTTAAGTTAATAGATAAGCAAAAGTTGATGCATTAGATAAAATATAAATGCATAAAATACCACAATCTTAAAATACAGAATACACAAGAAGGAATAACCTTCCATACTTCATAAATTGATTAAATTGTTAAATAAAAATCGACTTATAGAAATTCTTACCCTCATAAACAACTGATATGTAAGATCTCCTTCGAAAACTGTCCATCGGTTTCACCAAAACTTACCATGTTACGGCAGTGCTGTCAGGGTGGTATTTATGTATGTAAAGCATAAAAATAATCATTAAACCCTTGTCTAATATACAATATGTCTATTATAGGTTGCTAAAGGAAGGAAAAGTTATTGTTCTTCCTATTACGATTTGGGTTCATATTGTGATGTTAAACGGTTTTTACTGGTGTTTATTGGATGAAAAAAAAAACTATAATACAAGTGCAATCATAATTGAAAACCAACACAATTTGGTGTAGATAGTAGAAACTCACCCATGCAAATTATATCATTCTATAGAGAAAAATATAAGTATTTTATCAGTTACCTCACAATATCACTTGTGTGTCAAAAAATTGTATAAAATTTAGTAAATTAGTTGTAAATATTTAAAAAAGGCCTAATATCGCTGTGATAAGTCAGATGGCGAAATAGGTAGAGTATTTTAACAAGAGAATACATTAATTTTTATAGCAATAGGCATTTATCCTCTTCTCGCCGTGAAAGAATTACAAACTGATACATCCAAAATTTTGCTATCTTTCATTGAGAATAATGGCCGTAATAAATCATTATTAATTAAGAGTGATGTGAACGATCGCATTTGAAATTATATTAAATAAATAAATAATAATTCATAATTAGAACGATATTATCTGGCTTAATATATATGTTTTTTGTTTCTTAAGTTGTAAATTTTTGAATAATGATAACTTAAGACAGTAAACAATTAAAACGAAGCAATCAAATCTTTAAACATCTACTTGGCACACAAACACAGAGGAAGCGTCAACAAATGTACTGTACTGTAACTGTAAGTGTCCTTCGATCAAAATTATATGAAGTTGACGTTTCCTCTATGTACAACTCTACCCTGCTGTATATTTACCCACCCTTGGTGCGTGCTTGGGTTTTAAATATTTTTTTCTAATTCTAGAGTCTAGAGGATAGAAATTCACAATAACAAGAAACTGATGTATGTATAGTGTTGCCAGTAGGAGCTGGTATAGGTTGGGATACTAGTAAAAGTCTTATTTTTCCCCCGCAAAGTTGAAATTCGCGTGATTCGGTCCATCAATTCATGACTACATAGTATACAAACACATAGTGATAAAAAGTATAAAAAAAGAAATGAATATTTTTTATAAATGTATAAAGATAACATTGAAATCGATCAAGATAGCTGTATTCTATGGGTGGGTCAGGTGGTCACATTCCCATGCCCCATAGTAATAGCAAGGTCACAATAGAATTGGTGTGATGAAAGAAGTGAAATAAAATGAATGATTTTTATTCAATATAGATTTTTGAAAGTCATTTTTTATTTGGCACTGGTTCGAAAAAACCCTTTGTTCTAGGAAGAACCAGCAAGAAACCTAGCGGGGCTTTTTTTAAGAACATATTTCATTTTACAGTAATTTATTTAGTACAGTTTTTTAACGAATTTTCATCGAACAAATATGATGGCGTACTCCTCATTCCCAGGGGCTATTTTATTTATGTATTCTTTGATATTATAATAACACTTTTTGTAAAATTTCTTAATAAAACATTTAAATTTGTTTAATGACACATTTTGTACCTTTTCTGGGATTTTGTTGTAGAAGAGTATAATACATTGCCTCATAAATGAATTACTGATTCTGTGTAGTCTAGTAACTGGCAGGCTTATGTTTGTTCCTAATGTTTAAAGAATAAACATCTTTATTCTTAAAAGGCTGTTTATTTTTTTATGTACAATAATCACATTTTCATAAATATATTGCGATTTTAATATGTTTATTTCTTAAAAAATTTCGCTATGGGACTCTTAATAATTTAGTTATAAATCGCCCGTCACTTTTGCAAAACCAATATGACTTTAATGTCAATTGTACTACCCCACTCTATGGAAAGAAATTTCTGAATTGTTTCTATATTAACGACAGACACTTAAAATTTTTGGAGCCACGCTGCCACCGAGGCAGTACCACGCTGTCATTCGTATACTATGTGTAGAGTATTGGAGACCATTTTACTAGAAATAGGGCATTCCATCTTAGTTCTCTGGGGTGACAACGCATCCGCATTATGATATTTAATCAAGGATAGTTGTAGTTGTAGTGGCGCCACCGTTGCGATGTTAACAGTTGTTTTTGCGAACTCCGTATTAAAAGTTAAAAATAAAATAGTTAAGTGTGCTATTAAGATTTAAAAACCTTATAACCCGAAGACGTGTGTGGAAAAGTTACTGTTAATACAAGATAATAAGTGGGATTCAACAAATTATACGAATAAACATCGTAAATTGTATAACCGACAAATAGTTTAACAGTGCGAAAAACCAGTGACAAACAAAAAACATTCCAAAACCTTGTGATAAGAGTGTAAAAAATAAATAAGAATAAGTACAAAATTTATGACAAAACATAAGTAAAGAAGAAATCAGTGTTACGAGTAACATAACCTAACTTCTGATTCTCATTAGTCATCCAAAAAATTTATATCATCGTGTTAATAAATCAACGCCATCTATGATCGAGTAAGCCAAAACACATACAACTAAGGTACGAACCGTTATCGATTCATAACGATTAACCGTTCGGATATCTTATATTTTATTTGATACCTCTAGCGTCACCTATTGGCAAATAGCGAAAACATGGAAGACTTAACAAAAATTTTAAAATCAATACAAATCGATCTCGCAGCACAAAAAAAGAGAAATGAAAGAAATGGAAACAAATATTACGAGCAGCATAAACAATAACATTAGCGAAAATTTCAAAAAAATGGAACAGAACTATAATCAATTGAATGAAAAAATACAAAATCATGAAAACATATTGAATCGTATGGAGAGACATATCAGGAAGAGAAACTTGGTATTTTTCGGAATCGAGGAAGGAGAAAAATCATACCACGAGCTAGAAAATAAAATTTTATCGTTCATTAATAAAATTAATATTCCTTGTGAGAGAAACGAAATCGAATCTGCAAAACGATTAGGAAAAAAAGAGAAATACCTAGACCCATCACAGTCACCTTCACAACTGTGGGGAAAAAAATAATGTTACTACAAAATAAGAAAAATATTAAAAATAGCACAATATATTACAAAGAAGATTACCCACAAAAAGTTTTAGAGAAAAGGAAACAACTACAATTGGAATTAATAAAATACAAATCAGAAGGATTAAAAGCTATAATTAAATATGACAAATTAATCATTTTGAACCCAAATAAATCCGATAAAAACCAGAACTCACAACAACATTCAAAAAAAAGAAATTTGCATACTTCTCCAAACCAAGATGGAACAAGCCATGAAAGCCAAGCTCTAAAGAAAAACAAAATTACTGCTTTTATGAGACAAAGAAAAGACTTCGAGAAATCCCCAAAAAATGAAGCTCCAACATCCAGTATTTAACAATTAACGAAGGCCCCCCCACTATCACAAAACCCAATACGGCTGGTCACCGCGGGGGAGAAAAATGAAATCGATTTTTCTCTTGACTACAACCCTCCAAAGATACAGAACAACAATACAAACAAAAAGAGAAATCAACACAATCTCTACATTGGCACATACAACGTGAGAACGCTGGCGAGCCCGGAAAAGCTTATAGAACTTACGAACGCGCTTAAGAATATTAAAAACGATATCATTGGACTGTCAGAAATGAGAAGATTCGGCTACGGAGTGGACGAATACGATGATTTCATATTATGCTACAATGGACAGATAAGGGGAAGATATGGAGTCGGATTTATAATAAAAAAGCATCTAAAAACCTATATCAAAAGCTTTAGGGGTTTATCCGATCGTGTAGTTCTTCTGGATGTCGATTTATATGACCTACCAATAACTATTATACAAGTTTATGCACCTACTGAAGAGTCTGAATTGTTGGAAATCGAAACCTTCTACAACACCCTACATAGAGCCCATGAAGCTTCAAGAAAATATGTAATAGTTATGGGCGACTTTAACGCGAAAGTAGGGAAGGGGAACTTCGAAGAAAGCAGACATATTGGAAAGTACGGTTTTGGAAATAGAAGCCCTAGAGGTCAACAATTAATACACTATGCGCAAGAATATAACCTATCCACTATGAACTCTTTTTTCAAGAAAAAGAGCAATCATAAGTGGACGTGGAAGTCTCCTGACCAAACAATCAAAAATGAAATAGATTATATACTCACAAATTTTCCAAACCGATTCCAAGATGTGCATGTTTTAAATAACATTATGTTCCCATCAGACCATAGAATGGTTAAATCAAAAATATCCTTCAAATCCAACAAAAAGAGTCGTCAAAAATTCAAAACTCATATGTGCACATTGAGAAACCAAAGTGAAACAAATTATTACCTAGAAAAACTAGAGCAGAATTTAAAATCTATAAAATTGGAGGAAACACACACGGTTCAAACCTTATACAACAATCTAGAAAAATGTCTATTAGAAAGCATGATAACAGACAAACAAGTAGAGAAACGCAAACTTTACAACATTCTGACCGAGGATACATTAAGTCTAATTAAACAACGTCACGACCTACAAAATCTCAAACCTAAAAGTCGTGAAGACAAAATAAAACTCAGCTTTATCTATAAAATAACAAACAAAAATATCAGGAAAGACTACAATTTCCACAGATTAAAAACAATAGAAAAGTATATAATGACTAGCGGCAGCTGCAAACGCGCGTACAAAGAACTTCGCTCACACAAAACTTGGATACCCAGCTTATTAGAAAACTCTATTCCATCAACTAATAGAGAAAACATCCTCAAAATAGCAACAAAGTTCTATGCAAAGCTCTACGACCAAAAAGACCTTAGGTATTTCGAAACCATAAAGTTTTACTCTCAAAATCAAACGATTATCGATTGGACCGAAACTGAAATAGATAGAGAAATAAAGAGGCTAAAATCAGACAAGAGCCCAGGACCAGACGGTATTCCCAATGAGGCACTAAAGCTGGCAAGAACACTGCTAACACCGGTGATAACTTATTTATTCAACATTATAAATAAAGAGCAGAGAGTTCCCGAGCAATGGACTAAATCAAGTATTATATTACTCTATAAGAAAGGTGATCCAAGAGATATTGGAAATTATCGACCCATTAGTTTACTACATAGCCTTTACAAACTTTTCACACAGTGTGTTTTAAGTCGAATATCTGCAAAAATTGATAGAAATCAACCGGTAGAGCAAGCGGGTTTTCGTAGAGGATATTCAACCGTAGATCACATTCAAACTCTCGAGAACATAGTTGAGAAATATAAGGAATTTCAAAAGCCTCTCTATTTAGTATTTATAGATTACCAAAAAGCATTCGACTCTATCTCACACATTTCAATATGGGAGGCACTGAAGGCGAACAACGTAGAAGACATCTATTGTAATATAATTAAAGACATATACGAAAGAAGCACAAGTAGAATTAGCCTGGAAACAAATGGCCCAGAAATAAAAATAAAAAGAGGCGTTAAACAAGGTGACCCTTTATCCCCTAAGCTCTTCATCGCCGTACTTGAGATTATGTTCAAAAACCTTGACTGGAAAGATGTTGGTATTAGAATAAACGAGAATTATCTCAGCCATTTACGTTTTGCTGACGACATAGTATTATTCTCAGACACAAGTTCACAATTAGAGCAAATGATACAACATCTACAGGCAGAAAGCGCTCGCGTAGGACTACAAATGAACCTGCAGAAAACTAAACTCATAACCAATTCTACAAAACCATCAATAAAGATAGAAAACGAAAAGCTTGAGTATGTAGACACCTATATCTACCTTGGAAAGCAAGTATCATTCCACCAAAATAATAAAACATAGAAGAAATAATAAGGAGAATAAATATTTCTTGGAAAAAATACTGGGCTCACAAGGAAATAATGAAAGGAGACATGCCGCTTTCTACGAAAAAGAAAATAATGGATAGTTGCATCCTTCCCTGTCTAACGTATGGTTCGCAAACTTGGATATATACAAAACAGGCAAAAGAAAAAATCAGAATATGTCAAGCTGCTATGGAACGATCTTTCCTAGGACTCCGAAGGAGAAATAAAGTACGCCACACCAAGATAAGAGAAGAAACAAACCAAATTCATTTCTTAACCCACTCGATGAAATTGAAGTGGAAATGGGCAGGACATCTAGCTAGAATAGAGGATGCTCGATGGACGCGTCGAGTCGTGGTATGGAAAGGGCCCAAGGGTATAAGAAAACGAGGGAGGCCGCGTAGAAGGTGGATTGACGACATCAAAGACATAGCAGGAAATGATTGGCAAACCAAGGCAAAAGATAAAAAACAATGGTCAAAAATGGAGGAGGCCTTTACCCTGAGATAGGGGTTCTCATTAAATTAACAGAAAATAATATTTTCTTTATTATTATTATTTTTATTTATTGGTAATAATGTGAAAATAATCAAATTATATAATGAAAAATACATTTTTAAATTATATAAATTATATTAAACATTAAAAATTGCAAATTCAAATTAATTATGTAACTAAATATGAATTAATTATGTAAATGATTTGTTAGTATGTTATGATTTGTTTATTATTGTTGCATGTAAACATATACTATCTATTGTAAAACAGCATGAAAAATGAGAAATAAAAGGCTTATTTATTATTATTATTTATCGTAGTTGTAGTTGGCTATGGATGGGCCACATAATTTTCTTACCGTCAGGAGGACTGTGTAATCATTTGTCCTCCTTATCGTATCTGATAACGATTTTATAGCATTTTACCTTGAGGTGTTTCGAGGGAGAGAGAATGTATCTCCATTTTGGTTCTAAATAGTATATAGTATTAAGCGTCTAAGGGCACAGAATAAGTAATAGTACCACGCTATGGGTTACACTGACTATTTACCATCAGACGGACTGTATGCTCATGGATAATAAACGTCAAAATCAAATGCAGATGCGTGGTCATTCTCAGAGGGTAAGGCAAAATAAAACTGCGAAAATGGTGTCCGGTTCTAAATATTTACCACACTAAATGCAGCAGTGAAATGCTGTCGCTCTGCCACGTGATTTACTTGTGGTGGTGTTCGACTTTTATAGGAATATTATCAACGATATCGATCAAGGTAAATCAAGGTATTTAAGGACTAAGAAAATAGTGTAAACGGATTATCTGCAAATATGGCATTATTCTGCGTCGAAAATAAACAAAAGACGCTTAATATTTTACGATAAACCTTCAGGGTCGGTACTTTATCAACGGTTAATATCAAAAGGATGGCTGGCGCCGCTCCAGCGAACTTTATCACCATCCATCAGCCCGAAAACAAGTGCTGTTGCTTACTAAATTGAGTTACCCTGATGCACTGATATTTATTCCGCTACCTGCATGACGTGTTTCGCATTTGTTTTAATCATAAGTAAATAATCTACGACGACATTTATGACATGATTATTCATCTAGCCTTCCTTATACGACAAACGAGCACACAGTCCTCCTAATGGTAAGGGGATACTGTGGCTCATAGACGTCTACATTTATCCTCGATTAAGAATCAAAACGCAGATGCGTTGTCACCCCTGAGGACTAAGATGGAATGCCTAGTTTTTAGTTAAAAGGGTTTCCAGATCTCTACACTCGTCATACAAAACACAGCAGTATTAAGCTGCTATTTTACGCTGGTGTTCTGTGAGAGCGTGAACCTTCCTCGGTCGAGCCACCCATTCGTGTTACAGCCATAATATAGCTGCAGCGTTGCCCTAAAATGTATAAAAATCATCGTGTAATCAATATATTAGAATTTCTTAACCTATTTACCCTAAACCCTAAACACAGCAGCCCCTCTACACAAACTGTTATACGTAGAGCCATGCTGCTGTTATACAGGAAGGGCCAAAAATTATTGCTCTTTTGAAACTTTTGAATAGAAATAAAACTACAAATGTTATTTTGTTGATAACTGATTTGTCGTAATAATCATTTAATACAAATACGGACCAATTATGCCCTTTGATGATATGGCAGCCTATACTGTCGCTTTAGGTGAATGAAGTGGCTTTTGGTGTTTAAGGCAAGGGTTGTCCCTGCTCCAATATCGACAATTGTGCTTATTCACGTGTCCAGTGATGTGAAAATGGGCCTCGTCCGTAAACAATACATTCTCAAGGCTAGAGAATCGCTCCAGCATAGTGTCAGCCAATAACTTACGTTGAATGTAATCATTTGGTTTCATCTCCTGTACAATTCGAAGCTTATATGGGTGTAGTTTGAGGTCCAGATGCAAAATCCACCGTAGAATAGTTCTTGGTATTGCCAGAGCCGCCGAACGCTTATGCGTAGATGATTCTGGATCGTTCCGTACGACAATTTCGACCTCTTAAATGTTCTCATAACTTCTTCTAGAACGTGGCCGCCCTGTTTTTTAAT